GTCAGGTGGTTGTTGTAGTCAGACGGTGTGGTTGTTGAAGTCAGGCGGTGCGGTTGTTGAAGTCAGGCGGTGGGTGAAATCAGACGGTGCGGTTGTTGAAGTCAGATGGTGCGGTTATTGAAGTCAGGCGGTGGGTGAAATCAGACGGTGCGGTTGTTGAAGTCAGACGGTGCGGTGATTGAAGTCAGATGGTTGTTGAAGTCAGACGGTTGTTGAAGTGAGGCAGTTGTTGTAGTCAGATGGTTGTTGAAGTCAGACGGTGTGGTTGTTGAAGTCACGCGGTGCGGTTGTTGAAGTCAGGCGGTGCGGTTGTTGAAGTCAGGCGGTGGGTGAAATCAGCAGTGCGGTTGTTGAAGTCAGATGGTGCGGTTATTGAAGTCAGATGGTTATTGAAGTCAGACGGTTGTTGAAGTCAGGCAGTTGTTGTAGTCAGATGGTTGTTGAAGTCAGGCGGTGCGGTTGTTGAAGTCCGATGGTGCGGTTGTTGAAGTCAGGCGGTGCGGTTGTTGAAGTCAGGCGGTGCGGTTGTTGAAGTCAGGCGGTGCGGTTGTTGAAGTCAGACGGTGCGGTTATTGAAGTCAGGCGGTGCGGTTGTTGAAGTCAGATGGTTGTTGAAGTCAGGCGGTGCGGTTGTTGAAGTCAGATGGTTGTTGAAGTCAGGCGGTGCGGTTGTTGAAGTCAGACGGTTGTTGAAGTCAGACGGTTGTTGAAGTCAGACGGTTGTTGAAGTCAGACGTTACGATTGTTGAAGTCAGGCGGTTGTTGAAATCAGACGGTGCGGTTGTTGAAGTCAGGCGGTGCGGTTGTTGAAGTCAGGCGGTGCGGTTGTTGAAGTCAGACGGTGTGGTTGTTAAAGTCAGGCGGTTGTTGAAGTCGGGCGGTTGTTGAAGTCAGGCGGTGGGTGAAGTCAGACGGTGCGGTTGTTGAAGTCAGACAGTGCAGTTATTGAAGTCAGATGGTTGTTGAAGTCAGACGGTTGTTGAAGTCAGGCAGTTGTTGTAGTCAGATGGTTGTTGAAGTCAGATGGTTGTTGAAGTCAGGCGGTGCGGTTGTTGAAGTCAGGCGGTGCGGTTGTTGAAGTCAGACGGTTGTTGAAGTCAGACGGTTGTTGAAGTCAGACGGTGCGGTTGTTGAAGTCAGGTGGTGCGGTTGTTGAAGTCAGACGGTGTGGTTGTTAAAGTCAGGCGGTTGTTGAAGTCGGGCGGTTGTTGAAGTCAGGCGGTGGGTGAAGTCAGACGGTGCGGTTGTTGAAGTCAGACAGTGCAGTTATTGAAGTCAGATGGTTGTTTAAGTCAGACGGTTGTTGAAGTCTGGCAGTTGTTGTAGTCAGGCAGTTGTTGAAGTCAGATGGTTGTTGAAGTCAGACGTTACGATTGTTGAAGTCAGGCGGTTGTTGAAATCAGACGGTGCGGTTGTTGAAGTCAGGCGGTGCGGTTGTTGAAGTCAGGCGGTGCGGTTGTTGAAGTCAGACGGTGTGGTTGTTAAAGTCAGGCGGTTGTTGAAGTCGGGCGGTTGTTGAAGTCAGACGGTGGGTGAAGTCAGACGGTGCGGTTGTTGAAGTCAGACAGTGCAGTTATTGAAGTCAGATGGTTGTTGAAGTCAGACGGTTGTTGAAGTCAGACGGTTGTTGAAGTCAGGCAGTTGTTGTAGTCAGATGGTTGTTGAAGTCAGATGGTTGTTGAAGTCAGGCGGTGCGGTTGTTGAAGTCAGACGGTTGTTGAAGTCAGATGGTTGTTGAAGTCAGACGGTGTGGTTGTTAAAGTCAGGCTGTTGTTGAAGTCGGGCGGTTGTTGAAGTCAGGTGGTGGGTGAAGTCAGACAGTGCAGTTATTGAAGTCAGATGGTTGTTGAAGTCAGGGGTTGGGACGGTGTGAGTGTTTTTGGTTGTTGAAGTCAGACAGTGCGGTTGTTGAAGTCAGACGGTGCGGTTATTGAAGTCAGGCGGTGCGGTTGTTGAAGTCAGACGGTGCGGTTATTGAAGTCAGGCGGTGCGGTTGTTGAAGTCAGATGGTTGTTGAAGTCAGACGGTGTGGTTGTTGAAGTCAGACAGTGCGGTTGTTGAAGTCAGACGGTTGTTGAAGTTAGGCAGTTGTTGAAGTCAGGCAGTTGTTGTAGTCAGATGGTTGTTGAAGTCAGACGGTTGTTGAAGTCAAGTGGTGCGGTTGTTGAGTCAGGTGTTTGTTGAAGTCAGATGGTTGTTGAAGTCAGACAGTGCGGTTGTTGAAGTCAGGCGGTTGTTGTAGTCAGATGGTTGTTGAAGTCAGATGGTTGTTGAAGTCAGACGGTGCGGTTGTTGAAGTCAGACAGTGCGGTTATTGAAGTCAGACGGTGTGGTTGTTGAAGTCAGACGGTGCGGTTATTGAAGTCAGGCGGTGCGGTTGTTGAAGTCAGATGGTTGTTGAAGTCAGATGGTGCGGTTGTTGAAATCAGACGGTTGTTGAAGTCAGATGGTGCGGTTGTTGAAGTCAGACGGTGCGGTTGTTGAAGTCAGACAGTGCAGTTATTGAAGTCAGACGGTTCGGTTGTTGAAGTCAGACAGTGCGGTTATTGAAGTCAGACGGTGCGGTTGTTGAAGTCAGACGGTGCGGTTATTGAAGTCAGGCGGTGCGGTTGTTGAAGTCAGATGGTTGTTGAAGTCAGACGGTGTGGTTGTTGAAGTCAGACAGTGCGGTTGTTGAAGTCAGACGGTTGTTGAAGTCAGGCAGTTGTTGAAGTCAGGCAGTTGTAGTCAGATGGTTGTTGAAGTCAGACGGTTGTTGAAGTCAAGCGGTGCGGTTGTTGAGTCAGATGGTTGTTGAAGTCAGATGGTTGTTGAAGTCAGGCAGTGCGGTTGTTGAAGTCAGGCGGTTGTTGAAGTCAGACGGTTGTTGAAGTTAGACGGTTGTTGAAGTCAGACGGTTGTTGTAGTCAGATGGTTGTTGAAGTCAGGCGGTTGTTGTAGTCAGATGGTTGTTGAAGTCAGACAGTTTTTGAAGTCAGGTGGTTGTTGTAGTCAGACAGTGCGGTTGTTGAAGTCAGGCTGTGCGGTTGTTGAAGTCAGGCGGTTGTTGAAGTCAGACGGTTGTTGAAGTCAGGCGGTGGAGTTGTTGAAGTCAGGCGGTTGTTGAAGTCAGACAGTTGTTGAAGTCAGACGGTTGTTGAAGTCAGGCGGTGGAGTTGTTGAAGTCAGGCGGTTGTTGAAGTCAGACAGTTGTTGTAGTCAGGCGGTGTGGTTGTTGAAGTCAGGCGGTTGTAGTCAGACGGTTGTTGAAGTCAGACGGTTGTTGTAGTCAGGCGGTGCGGTTGTTGAAGTCAGGCTGTGCGGTTGTTGAAGTCAGGCGGTTGTTGAAGTCAGACGGTTGTTGTAGTCAGACGGTTGTTGAAGTCAGACGGTTGTTGTAGTCAGACGGTTGTTGAAGTCAGACGGTTGTTGAAGTCAGGCGGTGCGGTTGTTGAAGTCAGACGGTTGTTGTAGTCAGGCTGTGCGGTTGTTGAAGTCAGACGGTTGTTGTAGTCAGGCGGTGCGGTTGTTGTAGTCAGGCGGTTGTTGAAGTCAGGCGGTGCGGTTGTTGTTGGTGTGGTTGCCGTGGTGAGTGATGTGGATCCAGCTGCGGTCTGGGGGCAGATAGTCAGGTTCTGGGGGGTAATAATAAGTGCATTGTGAGAGCAGAACAATGGCCGCTGTCAGAGGGAGCAGAACGGCCAATGGGATGCTGGCGTTCGGTGAGGAAGAGAGTCACACATCAAACACATGGTTGAGTGGATGTGAAAGTTTCTGTCTGTCCAATCTAATAATTCATATTAATTTATTAAATTATAATATTTATATAATGAGCAGTGACCAGCAGCATCAGGACTGGATACTGCTGCATCACTTAATCAATTAACTGATTACTCAACCAGTCAATTAATCACCCCTGTGATTATCAGTTCATCGTTTGAGTCTTTAGATAATGTGTCCTCAGAGTAATTGTTATAGATAATATCTTAAAATAATGACTTAATATCTCAAAATAATGAATTAATATTTTAAAATAATGTCTTAATATCTTAAAATAATGACTTAATAACTCAAAATAATGAATTCATATTTTAAAATAATGTCTTAATATCTTAAAATAACGACTTAATAACTCAAAATAATGAATTAATATTTTAAAATAATGTCTTAATATCTTAAAATAATGACTTAATAACATAAAATAATAACTTAATAACTAGAATATTGATGTATTATCTCAGTTACTTCCACACAGACACAAAAACAACCAGAGTTCAGTTTCACTTGACATTTATTTTTATTCTGAAGCATCTTTTTGTTTTTTTACATGCAGCTCGTCTTTACAATCATCTGCTCATCTATAACTTGATTCAAAGCATCCCAATAATAATCCCAATAATCAATCGTTATAGTGATTGAACAGAAAACAGGAGCTTGTTTTTCACACACAGATGTTGTTTGTCCAACCTGCTGATGACTGAGTGATCAATAAATGCAACACAAACAACATAATGCTCATTCATTAGATATGAACGGGCCTAAATATGTTTCTTAAAGTCGTCTGAGCACAAATAATTATAAAACTACAACTCAAACAGGAAACAGCAGCACGTTTGTCTCTTTGGCTCCATAAAAACTGGATTTTATTGAGTGAAAAACACAAAACGCCTGAATGATTGAAACTGAGGAAACTTTAAACATCAGAAAGTTTGAGATAATAAGATAATAAGATAATAAACTGCATCAGGAGGAAATAACTTTTCTTCAAACCCACAAAACTTTATTTAAAACCGTCCGTCAGAGTCTGTGAATGGATCCACTGACATAAAACAGTTGACCTGGATCTGGAAATCTGGTTTGTGTAAAATAATGATTATTTAATGAATTATTTATAGAATGAACTCACTGAAATAACAAGCTGCTGATAAAATAAACAGTTTCAAACATTTTAATTGTCTAAACCTGATTAAGAATGTCACTGAGAATCTGAAGCCACAACTTTTATTCTGCACTGTAAAACTAGATCCATTCATTTAACTCAGTTGACTAAGTTAATTTTAAGTGACACTGACTTCATTTTGTAAATTCTGCTTGTGATTAAAAGTATTTAATCAGGATTTTTAACTTACAGAGGGAATTTGTGTTAACCCTTTCACAATAAGAGTGAGGTACGTATGTTTGGGTTTGTTTGGCTGCAGTTTCCAGAGTTCGATCCATAAAGGTGGGAAACATTCGATCTCAGTTCAGCTTCTAATCTGACGTACTGAAACCAGTTCGGAGAAGAGTGGCAGCGTCCCTGGTGGGAAGTAGTCTCAGACGTACTCAGATCTGTTCCAGATAGAGGTCTGTCCCGGGTGCACCTTCCCCAGAGGGATGTGCACAGGTGCGTCACAGTTTTCCCTCTGCAGACACAAACAGGAAGTCAGGAGCAGAGTTCCCGCCACCAGGTGAAGAACTCCTGCCGTCCAGCCGCAGAATAGAGCGTCCCCAAACTCCCAGCGCGGCACCACCTCCGGTACCGACTCGTCGAAGAACCGTACGACCGTGAGGTGGGCGATGTACGATACCGGGACGAGGCCCAGGATACCGGCCACCAGGCACAGCACCCCACCCGCCGCCTTCAGGGTCCTCTTGCAACGGAGGTCCTCCAGCCGGTCGTGGCAGCTGTTGACCACTCGCATCCCAGGGATAGCCAGCAGGACCCCGAGGAGCCCGGCAGCCAGCGCCACACACATGAGGATCCGGGCCAGTTTAATGTCGTGTGGCAGGCCCAGGAGGCCGTCGTAGGGCCGGCACTCCAGCACGCCGAGCTCCTGGACCACGCAGGTCTCCCACAGCCCCAGCTCGTAGCTCTCAGTGGGCAGCAGCTCGGTGGACAGCGTGAGCCAGGTGGACATCAGGGTGGTGGCCAGCGAGCAGAGCCAGGCCGCCACCGAGAAGAACACCCCTGACAGCTCCAGAGCCTGAACGCTTGGGTCCATGACGGCGCCGCTCAGGGTCTCAGGATCGATGGCGCTGGTCGGTCCTGCTCTTTACCTCCCTGCCTTCCTTACTGGAGGGCGGGGGGGGGGGCTCCTCACCGGCACACCATAACTCCCTCCAGGAAATACCCTGAGCGTGCTGCCAGCTCAGAGAAGCCCTTTCGTACATTCGAGGCAGTGCTGAGAGTGGACCTGTGTCTCTGACAAGCCTATGCCCCCCCCCATCAGGGAGAAAGTGATTGGCCACTGCGAACAACAGCATCATTCAGCCGCCTGCGAGGGCGCATGCACGCAGGATGTCGTTCAAACGCAGACAGGATGTTATCAACGCACACATCTCTGTCTCAAAGGCGTTTGAAGTTAATGGCATCGCTCGCGCCGCTTCCCTGCTTTGTATGGGACCCCCCCCGCAGGGACCCCTCCTCCCCTCTCCTCCCCCCTCCTCCCCCGCAGTGTCACCAGGCGAACCCAACAAACACAGACGGTTTTACATGATGTCTGCTCAGGCTTTGTTCCTTTAATGAAGGCTGGAAAAACAGGAAAAAGCAGGTTCTGTAGTTTCCACGTCAACCTCAAACTCAACATTCAAAATAACTTTATTGTTTCTTCTCAATGTTCACAGACATTAAGAGAGTTGGAGTCAGATTCACACCAACAAACAAGCTCGAACTTTAAACTTCTGTGACTGAAGATTTGAGACGAAACAGCGAGAAAATGTCCAGAGTTACAAACATTCAACATTCAAAGAAAATCAGCATTTTACTAGTTTTATTACAGTTTTATTTCAGTTTTGTTAGTTTTACTACATTTTATAAACAATTTCAGTTTTATTAGTTTTACTAGTTTTATTAGTTTTATTATAGTTTTATTTCAGTTTTATTAGTTTTATTTCAGTTTTACTAGTTTTATTAGTTTTATTTGAGTTTTATTTGAGTTTTATTAGTTTCATTTCAGTTTCATTTCAGTTTTATTAGTTATATTAGTTATATTATATTTTTATTTCAGTTTTATTATGATTTTATTAGTTTTATTATAGTTTTACTAGTTTTATTATAGTTTTATTATAGTTTTATTTCAGTTTTATTACAGTTTCATTTCAGTTTTATTTCAGTTTTATTACAGTTTTATTAGTTTTATTATAGTTTTATTTCAGTTTTATTAGTTTTATTTCAGTTTTACTAGTTTTATTAGTTTTATTTGAGTTTTATTTGAGTTTTATTAGTTTCATTTCAGTTTCATTTCAGTTTTATTAGTTATATTAGTTATATTATATTTTTATTTCAGTTTTATATGATTTTATTAGTTTTATTATAGTTTTACTAGTTTTATTATAGTTTTATTATAGTTTTATTATAGTTTTATTTCAGTTTTATTACAGTTTCATTTCAGTTTTATTTCAGTTTTATTACAGTTTTATTAGTTTTATTATAGTTTTATTTCAGTTTTATTAGTTTTATTAGTTTTATTAGTTTTATTTCAGTTTTATTACAGTTTAATTAGTTTTATTATAGTTTTATTTCAGTTTTATTAGTTTTATTTTAGTTTCATTTCAGTTTTATTACAGTTTTATTAGTTTTATTTTAGTTTCATTTCAGTTTGATAATAGTTTTATTACAGTTTTATGAAATTGGTTATTTGTAGTGACGTTAATATAAATATATAGTCTTTACTGTCAGAGAATAAGAAGATATGATAGTTATTAAAGTCCATTTCAGTGTGTGTGTGTTGATTTACACAGTTGATCTATAGCGCCACCTGGTGGAGCAGAGCTCAGGTTGTTTTATTATTATTATTATATATATACATGTGTATATATAAGACAATGTTAATAAATACTGTTAATAGGATTCAAAGCTTTAAGGTTATTGATTACACTTACATACTGTCGTATATCCTATTTTTTATTTTTATTTCAAAGTCATCTTTATTGCAAAAAGGGGGGTTACAATTCAGATGTGACGTACAGAAATATATATATGTCAACAGTATACAAACATATACAATACAAACAAAGTGAAATAAAGCTTTGCCAGGGGAAGCTTATATGTTATTAAAGAGAGAAAGAGGACCATATGTCGTATATCCTATTTTTTTATTTTATTTTATTTTTATTCTTATTTTTATTGAACAATTTAAATGTACAAAACTACAATGTATACAATAACAATCAGCACATTGGTGACATAAACAATAAATAAATAAAAAATAGAGTACAAATTTAAAATAAATAAATAAATATAATAAATAAATAGATAGTTCAAACAGGGGCTTCAGGAAAAAACTTTTCATAATGATTCAGTAAGGTATTACTTTTTTTGATATTTAACAAAATCAGAGATTTAAGCAAAGAGCTCAGTTCCAGGAAAAGGAGCAAATTTAGGTAATGATTTTGCAAATTTTTGTTTGTGAATAAAGAATTTTGCATATAGCATAACAAAGTTCATCAGGTGTTCAAGAGCATTATCTTCTGGGTTAACATAGTAGCAAATAACATCTTTAAGGGTAAGAGAGTAGACAGAGTTAGCGGCATCAAAAAAATGAGATTCAACATCACTCCAAAACTTTTTAGATATATCACAATAAAAAAACAGGAGTGAAACTGTTTCTGTATAAAGATTACAAAAAGTACAGGAATCATCAACATCTATAAACTTAGCAATAATACTACTAACTGGGTATATATTATGCAGTATTTTAAAATGTACTTCTTTAGCCTTGTCAGATATGCAATATTTGTGGGGTAGAAGCTCTTCTCCAGTTGATGTCCTCTATTTGGGACCTCCAGTAAAACTTGCCTCTAGGCACAACTCTATTCATTCTTTGAAAACAAGGGCGAATATGTTTATTATTACACTTTCTATCTGTTCAATTATATATAGATATAGTTCAATTCCACTCAGCATCAGTACAGGTTGACTAGTTTTATATTCACTGTCACTCAAGTGGCTTTTTATAAGTTGAATTAACTCTATTGAGATAGCACGAGTTACAGATATAAATTCTCTGGAGGGAACAGGAACACTGTGTACAGACATAAAACGTTCATAAGACAACATATTACCAGCATTATCAATACGATCGAGGAAAGGATGATACCTCTTTCAAACCATTTTAACAAGATTAAGGATTTGTTTCTTATAAGAATATTGCTGTTATTCCAGAGGAAAGCCTTGTGGGGTGAGAAATTGTGGACAAAAGCCAGCTTCCATGCTAGGAAGGTTTGTTGAAGAAATTTTGATAGTTTGACTGGTAATCTATTAGGTAAAAAAATACATTTCAAAAGAAAGGAAAGACCTCCAATTTTATTAAAGATGTAGTTTGGGATGAAAAACCAGATAGAGTCAGGGTTTCTGAGACACTTTCTAACCAGTTAACCTTAAAGGTATTGACAGTCTCAATAAAATCTAGGACTTCAAGACCTCCTTCTGCCTTACTGTTGGAGAGTACACATTTCTTGAGTTTATGCGATTTATTTTTCCAGATGAAGTCTAAACATTTGTATTGACTTGTGTGGTACTTGGTTCACTTACAAATAGAGACAATGCCTTCTGCTTTAGAGAGAAGAACTCTACCTAGGACAGACAAGTCCCTTTGACACCAGATGTTAAAAATTGATTTGGTCTTTTTTAGTCTGTTTGAGAAATTTAAATGTTGCCTAACTGTAAGATCTTTAGTTATGAATATTCCTAAATATTTAACAGAAGTCTTTACTGGGATGTTTTCAATTGTAGAATCATTGGAATGATGCAAAGACAAAATTTCACATTTGGACATATTAAGTCTTAGACCTGAGGCGTTAGAAAATTGGATAATTAGAGTAATAGCATTAGAGAGTTGATTCTTGTCTTTTAAAAAAAGTGTAGTGTCATCTGCCAGTTGGGAAATTTTTAATTCTCTGCCAAAAATTGAATACCTTCCAGTTTCTCATTGTTTACTATATTGATTGACAATAACTCAGTGACTAGAAGAAATAAAACGGGAGATATAGGGCAGCCTTGTCAGACACCTCTGTTAATTTGAAATCTTTTAGTTGTGTTCAAATTCATTATCACAGAGCTGTTAATGTCTTCATAAAACACACTGACATTATCAACAAAGTTATTCCCAGATCTGAATACTTTGAGGGACTGAAAAAGAAAGTTGTGCTCAATTGTATCAAAGGCCTTATAAAAGTCTAAGAACAGAATAAGAGCCTCGGTGTTAACTTCATTTGCATAGTCCAATAAATCTAAAATGAGTCCAATGTTACTGCTAAAATGTTGATTTTTCATAAAACCTGTTTGAGTTTCTGCAATAATCATGTCTAGCCCTACTTTTAACCTGTTGGCATACACTAAGGCCAATATTTTATAATCAATAGTTAGGAGAGTAATAGGACGCCAATTCTCTATTATTAGGGGGTCTTTATCCGGTTTGGGAATAAGAGATATAATACCCTGCTTCATTGTAGCCGTCATCTCTTCTCATTCTTTGTACATACCTAATAGTGGGTTTTCAATAGATTCCCAAAAGTGAGTATAGAATTGGACAGATAAACCGTCAATACCTGGTGACTTTCCTTTCTTCACTGAGAATAATGCATTTTTAAGTTCAATAGTTGACAGGTCAGAGTCACATATAGATTTGAAATCTTCAGTAATTAAGGGAATATTAGTCTGAATTTTTCTTAGAAAACTTGCACAATCCTTTGCGTTAAAGTTAGAATTATATAGTTTTCCGTAAAAATCAGAAACAAACTCATTTATCAAATTCAGATCTTTTGAGGGTACTCCATTGATATTAGGGGCAGTTAATGACTTTCTTTCCATTGATATTAGGGGCAGTTAATGACTTTCTTTCCATTGATATTAGGGGCATTCTCTGGGGCAGTTAATGACTTTCTTTCCATTGATATTAGGGGCATTCTCTGGGGCAGTTAATGACTTTCTTTCCATTGATATTAGGGGCATTCTCTGGGGCAGTTAATGACTTTCTTTCCATTGATATTAGGGGCAGTTAATGACTTTCTTTCCATTGATATTAGGGGCAGTTAATGACTTTCTTTCCATTGATATTAGGGGCATTCTCTGGGGCAGTTAATGACTTTCTTTCCATTGATATTAGGGGCAGTTAATGACTTTCTTTCCATTGATATTAGGGGCAGTTAATGACTTTCTTTCCATTGATATTAGGGGCATTCTCTGGGGCAGTTAATGACTTTCTTTCCATTGATATTAGGGGCAGTTAATGACTTTCTTTCCATTGATATTAGGGGCAGTTAATGACTTTCTTTCCATTGATATTAGGGGCATTCTCTGGGGCAGTTAATGACTTTCTTTCCATTGATATTAGGGGCAGTCTCTGGGGCAGTTAGTGACTTTCTTCCATTGATATTAGGGGCATTCTCTGGGGCAGTTAGTGACTTTCTTCCATTGATATTAGGGGCAGTTAGTGACTTTCTTCCATTGATATTAGGGGTAGTTAGTGACTGTCTTTCCATTGATGTTAGGGGCATTTAGTGACTTTCTTTCCATTGATATTAGGGGCAGTTAGTAACTTTCTTTCCATTGATATTAGGGGCATTCTCTGGGGCAGTTAGTGACTTTCTTCCATTGATATTAGGGGCATTCTCTGGGGCAGTTAGTGACTGTCTTCCATTGATATTAGGGGCATTCTCTGGGGCAGTTAGTGACTTTCTTCCATTGATATTAGGGGCATTCTCTGGGGCAGTTAGTGACTTTCTTCCATTGATATTAGGGGCATTCTCTGGGGCAGTTAATGACTTTCTTCCATTGATATTAGGGGCATTCTCTGGGGCAGTTAGTGACTTTCTTCCATTGATATTAGGGGCAGTTAGTGACTTTCTTCCATTGATATTAGGGGCAGTTAGTGACTGTCTTCCATTGATATTAGGGGCAGTTAGTGACTTTCTTTCCATTGATGTTAGGGGCAGTTAGTGACTTTCTTCCATTGATATTAGGGGCAGTTAGTGACTTTCTTTCCATTGATATTAGGGGCAGTTAGTGACTTTCTTTCCATTGATATTAGGGGCAGTTAGTGACTTTCTTCCATTGATATTAGGGGCAGTTAGTGACTTTCTTCCATTGATATTAGGGGCAGTTAGTGACTTTCTTTCCATTGATATTAGGGGCAGTTAGTGACTTTCTTCCATTGATGTTAGGGGCAGTTAGTGACTTTCTTCCATTGATATTAGGGGCATTCTCTGGGGCAGTTAGTGACTTTCTTCCATTGATATTAGGGGCAGTTAGTGACTTTCTTCCATTGATATTAGGGGCAGTTAGTGACTTTCTTCCATTGATATTAGGGGCAGTTAGTGACTTTCTTCCATTGATATTAGGGGCAGTTAGTGACTTTCTTTCCATTGATATTAGGGGCAGTTAGTGACTTTCTTCCATTGATATTAGGGGCAGTTAGTGACTTTCTTCCATTGATATTAGGGGCAGTTAGTGACTTTCTTTCCATTGATATTAGGGGCAGTTAGTGACTTTCTTCCATTGATATTAGGGGCATTCTCTGGGGCAGTTAGTGACTTTCTTCCATTGATATTAGGGGCAGTTAGTGACTGTCTTTTCTTCTCCTTCCTCTGTTGTCTATCCTATGACGTCACAGGCCTGTGACAACGGGCCGTGGCGTCATCAGAGCGTGCCGCCGCACACGCTGTCGGTGAGCTGTCGGTGATTGTAGTAAAATGTCGGTGTTTCACGATGAGATAGAGATCGAAGACTTTGAATACGACGAGGACGCAGAGACTTACTACTTCCCCTGTCCCTGCGGAGACCGGTTCGCCATTACTAAAGTGAGTGCTAACGGAGGCTAACGGGAGCTAACGGAGGCTAACTGGGGCTAACGGAGGCTAACGCACCAAAGTCCGTCTGAATATCTTCATATTAAAGGTTGTGGAGCTCCAGGAGCTGATTGATAACCAGCAGATCGATTTAACAACAGTTTCACTAATCTGATAGAACTTCTGCTTTATTCGGCACCTGGATAATCAATCATATTGATCAGAATACACTGTATCTTTATAGATTATTGATCAGACTACACTGTATCTTTATAGATTATTGATCAGTATACACTGTATCTTTATAGATTATTGATCAGTATACACTGTATCTTTATTGATTATTGATCAGTATACACTGTATCTTTATGGATGATATTGATCAGTATACACTGTATCTTTAGAGATTATTGATCAGACTACACTGTATCTTTATAGATTATTGATCAGTATACACTGTATCTTTATGGATTATTGATCAGTATACACTGTATCTGTATGGATTATTGATCAGTATACACTGTATCTTTATGGATGATACTGATCAGTACACACTGTATCTTTATGGATGATATTGATCAGTACACACTGTATCTTTATTGATTATTGATCAGTATACACTGTATCTTTACAGATTATTGATCAGTATACACTGTATCTTTATGGATGATATTGATCAGTATACACTGTATCTTTATGGATGATATTGATCAGTATACACTGTATCTTTATGGATGATATTGATCAGTATACACTGTATCTTTATGGATGATATTGATCCTGTATTGACAGTCAGACTGTGGACATATGACGGCCTTTAGCTCGTGTTTCTAGAGTTACGTGTTGTTACGAACACGTTAGGAATTGTTAAAATGTGATATTTCTTAAAGGGAGTTTGGTGCAGGGAGCTTTTAGTTGGATTCAAACTGCTGATATGGATCATTGTTAACGTTTAGTCTCCACTACAGAAACACTAGCTAACTGCTGAAGGCTGATCAGGTTCATTGATCATTAATGCTTTAATAATGGGAGTATTGATCAGTGATCAGACTCATTGTGTGTGTTTTCAAAGGAGGATCTGGAGAACGGGGAGGAGGTGGCGACGTGTCCGAGCTGCTCACTCATCGTTAAAGTCGTCTACGATAAGGTCGTTTACAGCACAATCATTTAATGATTCACTTCTTTTATAGATTGGTGTCACTGTAATGTCTGATCAATAACAGAATGAGCACATATAGTAGTTTGTGTCAGTTATTGATCAATGAGTATCATGTGATTCATAATAATTAACATTGATTATCTTTTACACATTATAAATGTTATATTTTATATATGTAGTTGTAATTAATGTGCAGTCTCTAAGGTGTAAGAATTGATTTAATATATATTTTCTACTCTAATAATAATTCTATATGTTGTATATTTGAGATTTCACATACATAGACTAGAAGTTATTAAAATGTTGATTGTTTTTCTATTTTCCATGTAATATATATTTTCTGTCTGTAAAAGTTTCCGACTGTGAACTTTTGTAAGAACTGGTCTTGGTTCAGATGTTAGAGGTCTGTGGGCTGTAGCGCCATCTAGTGGTGCAGTGTGAGCATTGAGCCCAGAGTGTCTGCAGAGGACGATAACGTTGATCTCAATCAGAGAAATAAAGTCTTTAATAGAACTTTATTGTTCCCCGTCCACCTGTGAACACTTCCTCTAACGGGAGAATATTGGACGAGGAATAATTAATAATATAATTGATAACAGGAAGTGGTTTTGTGTTTCAGGAGTTGTTCGCTTGCGGAGAAATCGTTGAAGCTCCGTCGTCGTCTTCAGAACCCAAACTGGAGCTGCTGCAGTCCTGACCCCCATCTGCAAAACCCCGGACTGCTCCTTTAACTGTGGACCTGCTGTTTCTTCTGTGGTGTTTGGGCGTTGTAGCTCAGTGGTTAGAAAGGTTTCCAACGGTGGTGCATTCAGGTGCTGCTGGGGAACAACGAGTTCTGTAAATATGTCTCATATTAGATTATAAACTTATTTTATTGTGTCTCGTGTGAATGTTTGTGCTTATTTGAATTCCTGCTCATCAAACAGCGTCTTTATTTCCTGTAGAAGAGCAGATTTCACTGTTATATTTAATATATCATCATCATATCTGTCCAGAGACACAGCTGTTGTCTGTTAGAGCAATATTGATCTCTCCAGTACAGCCAATAATGGCACTGAACATCCCAAAGTGATCAATGACTGATTGATTGTTGACTAAAATCTTTCATATGGAAAAATAACAAATAACATGTAATCTTATATCAAAATAAACAAAACATGTCAAAATTATGCTCATTATTTTATTTCATATTTAACACTTTTTATCTCATATTTGACATTTTTATTTCATATTTTATATTTCTTATCTCATATCATCGACTAATGATGAAAGTTTCCATAAATTATTACAATATTTTCTTCTTTTGTTTGTTTTTAAAACAATAAAGTTTATTTCTCTATAAGATTGAAAATCAGGATTTTATTGCATGAAGTTTGGTCTGACTCCACCAGAGTGTGCAGACGTTCACACAAAGGTTCCTGAAGGGTTTCCACCGGGTCCTAAAAGGGTTCCACAGGTTCTTGAAAAGGTTCCAGGACAACAGGCTGTTTCCATAGAGCTCATAGAGTGGGTCCTTAAGATGTTTCCAGGAGCCTCTGGGAGTCTCAGGGGTCATTTAAAGGGTTCTGGGAAACGTTCTTGGGCCCCTAAGACGTTCCGAGGGTTCTCAAGAAGTATTAAATGTTCCTTAAGAAGGTTCCATAGGGCCTTGAAGAGCCTCCATGTGTCCCTGAGGGGTTCAATGTCTCCTCTGAAGATCAGGAATGAACAGAAAGCAAAGAGCTGAGAAAGAGAGTTCAATCCAAACTGTTTACTGTGCTCATAAAGGAAGAGAGAACTCATTCTCCATTAGAGTGAATGGGATCAGTGTGTTATTGCTGTAAATGGAGCTCCCCCTGCTGACTGTCACACAGAATGCAGGTTATGTTTCTGTGATGTTGTGATGTTATTGTTGCTCTGATGATGTTGTTGTGATGTTGCTCTGATGATGTTGTGATGTTGCTCTGATGATGCTGTTGTGCGATGTTGCTGTAATGTTGCTGTGATGATGTGATGTTGCGATGTTGCTCTGATGATGTTGCTGTAATGTTGCTGTGATGATGTTGCTGTGATGTTGCTCTGATAATGTTGCTGTTATGTTGCTGTGATGATGTAATGTTGCTGTGATGATGTTGCTGTGATGTTGCTCTGATAATGTTGCTGTTATGTTGCTGTGATGATGTAATGTTGCTGTGATGATGTTGTAATGTTGCTGTGATGATGTTGCTGTAATGTTGCAGTGATGATGTTGTGATGTTGCTCTGATGATGTTGTGATGTTGTTGGGTGATGATGTTGTGATGTTGCTGTGATAATGTTGTGATGTTGCTGAAATGTTGCTCTGATGATGCTGCTGTTATGTTGCTGTGATGATGTTGTGATGATGTTGCTGTGTTGTTGCTCTGATGATGTTGCTGTGATGATGTTGTAATGTTGCTGTGATGATGTTGTGATGTGATGTTGCTGATGATGTTGCTGTGATGATGTGATGTTGCTGATGATGTCACTGTGATGATGTGATGTTGCTGTGATGATGTTGCTGTGATGTTGTTGTGATGTTGCTGTGATGATGTTGTGATGGTGTTGCTGTGATTATGTTGCTTTGATGTTGTTGCTGTGATGATGATGTTGTGATGATGTTGTTATGATGTTGCTTTGATGCTGTTGCTGTGCTGGTGTTGCTGTGATGTTGTTGCTGTGATTATGTTGCTGTTGCTGTGATGATGTTGCTTTGAGGTTGCTGTGATGATGTTGCTGTGATTATGTTGCTGTGATTATGTTGCTGTGATGATGTTGTTGTGATGTTGCTGTGATGATGTTGTGATGATGTTGCTGTGATTATGTTGCTTTGATGTTGTTGCTGAGATGTTACTGTGATGTTGTTGCTGTGATGATGTTGTGATGTTGTTGCTGTGATTATGTTCCTTTGATGTTGTTGCTGTGATGTTGTTGCTGTGATGTTGTTGTGATGTTGCTGTGATAATGTTGTGATGGTGTTGCTGTGATTATGTTGCTTTGATGCTGTTGCTTTGATGTTGTTGCTGTGATGTTGTTGCTGTGTTGCTGTTGCTGTGATGATGTTGCTGTGATGATGTTGCTTTGATCATTTGTTGCTGTGATGATGTTGTGATGATGTTGCTGTGATGATGTTGCTGTGATGTTGCTGTGATGATGTTGTGATGTTGTGATGATGTTGCTGTGATGATGTTGTGATGTTGTTGCTGTGATTATGTTCCTCTGATGTTGTTGTGATGTTGTTGCTGTGATGTTGTTGTGATGTTGTTGTTGTGATGTTGCTGTGAAGATGTTGCTTTGATGCTGTTGCTGTGATGATGTTGTGATGATGTTGCTGTGATTATGTTGCTGTGATGATGTTGCTGTGATGATGTTGCTTTGATGCTGTTGCTGTGATGATGTTGTGATGATGTTGCTGTGATTATGTTGTGATGTTGCTGTGATGTTGTTGCTGTGATGATGTTGTGATGTTGTTGCTGTGAAGATGTTGTTGTGACGTTGCTGTGATGATGTTGCTTTGATGTTGTTGCTTTGATGCTGTTGCTGTGATGATGTTGTGATGATGTTGCTGTGATGTTGCTGTGATGATGTTGTGATGATGTTGCTGTGATGATGTTGTGATTGTGATGTTGTGATGATGGTAATGGTAATGGACCTGTACTTGTTAGGCCTTTCTGTTTCACCACTCAAGCGCTTTACACTCGTGCCACATTCACCCTTTCACACATTCACTCAGTGATGGAGTCCATCGAACAGAAACTAACATTCATCACTTCACAAGTGACGGCTCGGGGGCGGGGGGTTATTTTTTTTTAAAAAAATCTTCCACCGGGCACCAGGGGGGGGGGGAACAAAAACCAACCCCCCAAAAAAAAAAAAAACCCCCCCCGCCTGATGTTGCTGTGATTATGTTGCTTTGATGCTGTTGCTGTGATGATGTTGTGATGTTGTTGCTGTGATGATGTTGTGATGTTGTTGCTGTGATTATGTTCCTCTGATGTTGCTGTGTTGCTGTTGCTGTGCTGGTGTTGCTGTGATGTTGTTTCTGTGATGATGTTACTCTGATGTTGTGATTGTGTTGCTGTGATGATGTTGCTGTGATGATGTTGAGATGATGTTGCTGTGATGTTGTTGCTGTGAAGATGTTGTTGTGACGTTGTTGCTGTGAGGATGTTGCTTTGATGTTGTTGCTGTGATGTTGTTGCTGTGATTATGTTGCTGTGATTATGTTGCTGTGTTGCTGTTGCTGTGATGATGTTGCTGTGATGATGTTGCTTTGATGCTGTTGCTGTGATGATGTTGTGATGATGTTGCTGTGATGTTGCTGTGATGATGTTGTGATGATGTTGCTGTGATGATGTTGTGATGTTGTTGCTTTGATGCTGTTGCTGTGATGATGTTGCTGTGATGATGTTGCTTTGATGCTGTTGCTGTGATGATGTTGTGATGATGTTGCTGTGATGTTGCTGTGATGATGTTGTGATGATGTTGTGATGATGTTTCTGTGATTATGTTGCTGTGATGTTGCTGTGATGATGTTGTGATGTTGTTGCTGTGATGATGTTGTGATGTTGTTGCTGTGATTATGTTCCTCTGATGTTGCTGTGTTGCTGTTGCTGTGCTGGTGTTGCTGTGATGTTTCTGTGATGATGTTACTCTGATGTTGTGATTGTGTTGCTGTGATGATGTTGCTGTGATGTTGTTGTGATGATGTTGTTGCTGTTATTATGTTGCTGTGTTGCCGTTGCTGTGATGATGTTGCTTTGATGCTGTTGCTGTGATGATTTTGCTGTGATGTTGTTGTGATGATGTTGCTGTGATGTTGCTGTGATGTTGTTGCTGTGATGATGTTGCTTTGATGCTGTTGCTGTGATGATTTTGCTGTGATGATGTTGCTGTGATGATGTTGAGATGATGTTGCTGTGATTATGTTGCTGTGATGTTGCTGTGATGTTGTTGTGATGTTGCTGTGATGTTGTTGCTGTGATGATGTTGTGATGTTGCTGTGAAGATGTTGTTGTGACGTTGTTGCTGTGATGATGTTGCTTTGATGTTGTTGCTGTGGTTATGTTGCTGTGTTGCTGTTGCTGTGATGATGTTGCTTTGATGCTGTTGCTGTGATGATGTTGTGATGATGTTGCTGTGATTATGTTGCTGTGATGTTGCTGTGATGTTGCTGTGATGATGTTGTGATGTTGTGATGATGTTGCTGTGATGATGTTGTGATGTTGTTGCTGTGATTATGTTCCTCTGATGTTGTTGTGATGTTGCTGTGAAGATGTTGCTGTGTTGCTGTTGCTGTGATGATGTTGCTGTGATGCTGTTGCTGTGATGATGTTGCTGTGATGATGTTGCTGTGATTATGTTGCTGTGATGTTGCTGTGATGTTGCTGTGATGATGTTGTGATGTTGCGATTGTGATTAATTTGCTGTGATGATGTTGCTGTGATGATGTTGAGATGATGTTGCTGTGATTATGTTGCTGTGATGTTGTTGTGATGTTGCTGTGATGTTGTTGCTGTGATGATGTTGTGATGTTGCTGTGAAGATGTTGTTGTGACGTTGTTGCTGTGATGATGTTGCTTTGATGTTGTTGCTGTGGTTATGTTGCTGTGTTGCTGTTGCTGTGATGATGTTGCTGTGATGATGTTGCTTTGATGCTGTTGCTGTGATGATGTTGTGATGATGTTGCTGTGATTATGTTGCTGTGATGTTGCTGTGATGTTGCTGTGATGTTGTTGTGATGTTGTTGTGATGATGTTGCTGTGATGATGTTGTGATGTTGTTGCTGTGATTATGTTCCTCTGATGTTGTTGTGATGTTGCTGTGAAGATGTTGCTGTGTTGCTGTTGCTGTGATGATGTTGCTGTGATGATGTTGCTTTGATGCTGTTGCTGTGATGATGCTGTGATTATGTTGCTGTGATGTTGCTGTGATGTTGCTGTGATGATGTTGTGATGTTGTGATGATGTTGCTGTGATGTTGTGATGTTGTTGCTGTGATTATGTTCCTCTGATGTTGTTGTGATGTTGCTGTGAAGATGTTGCTTTGATGCTGTTGCTGTGATGATGTTTTGATGATGTTGCTGTGATTATGTTGCTGTGATGATGTTGCTGTGATGTTGCTTTGATGTTGTTGCTGTGTTGCTGTTGCTGTGCTGGTGTTGCTGTGATGATGTTTCTGTGATGATGTTGCTGTGATGTTGTGATTGTGTTGCTGTGATGATGTTGCTGTGATGTTGTTGTGATGATGTTGTTGCTGTTATTATGTTGCTGTGTTGCCGTTGCTGTGATGATGTTGCTTTGATGCTGTTGCTGTGATGATTTTGCTGTGATGTTGTTGTGATGATGTTGCTGTGATGTTGCTGTGATGTTGTTGCTGTGATGATGTTGCTTTGATGATGTTGCTTTGATGCTGTTGCTGTGATGATTTTGCTGTGATGATGTTGCTGTGATGTTGCTGTGATGATGTTGAGATGATGTTGCTGTGATTATGTTGCTGTGATGTTGCTGTGATGATGTTGTTGTGATGTTGCTGTGATGTTGTTGCTGTGATGATGTTGTGATGTTGTTGCTGTGAAGATGTTGTTGTGACGTTGTTTCTGTGATTATGTTGTTGCTGTGATGATGTTGCTGTGATGTTGTGGTATTGTTGTGATGTTGTTGTTGTGATGTTGTTGCTGTGGTGTTGTTGTTGTGATGTTGTTGTTGTGATGATGTTGCTGTGATGTTGTTGATCAGCGGACTGTTTGTTGAAGCTGCAGCTGTTTGTTGCACAACCTGTTGCTGCTCTCCACATGACTGACTGTTTACTGGACACACTGATGTAGTTGTGTAACACACACACACACACACACACACACACAGGGGAACATTTGGGGTCAAAGGTCGAGCATTTATTGATCATATATTAAATAATTTAATATTTCTTTAGAGGATGTTGATATCGTTTGTTTCTTCTTCTGTGGTGTCTAGTGTCTCTGTGTCCTACTCTTATGTTTGGTCTGACTGTTGTTGTTTTTTGGTGCGTATGTGTGTGTGTGTGGGGGGGGTGTTCTCACAGGAAAGGACTGGGTGGTGTCAGAGGCTGTTGATGGGGGGAGGTCTGGTCCTCAGAAAGGCATGTGCAGCAGCAGGAGGGGCTGCTGGGAGTCTATTTTCTCCGAATCAGTGTGACAAACAGCCGGCCTGGGGGGTGGGGGTGGGGGGTGACGGTCGGGTGTCCGTCCCCTGGGTGTATAAAGGCCGGGGGGCTTCGGATGCTGGCAGATTGAAATAAACCACAGAGGAAGACACACAGCGTGAGGTACACAGACAGACAGACAGTGAAGGACCAGAAGAAGAATAACATGGACATTCAGACGGGTCAGCTGGTGCGTCCTGTCAGTGCCATGGAGAGTCTGGAGAAGCAGCTCAGCTGTCCGATCTGCCTTGAGATGTTCACCAAGCCGGTGGTCATCCTCCCCTGCCAGCACAACCTGTGCCGCGGCTGCGCCAACGACCTCTACGAGTCCAGGAACCCCTACCACTACTCCGGGGGAACCTTCCGCTGCCCCACCTGTCGCTTCGAGGTGATTCTGGACCGGCACGGCGTCTACGGGCTTCAGAGGAACCTGCTGGTGGAGAACATCATTGACATCTACAAGCAGCAGCAGGAGAGCCGGGGGGACGACGGCGAGGACCTCCCCCTGAAGGACAAAGACACCAAGGAGCCCATGTGTAAGGAGCACGTGGAAGAACGCATCAACATCTACTGCGTCAGCTGCCAGATTCCCACCTGCTCCATGTGCAAGGTGTTCGGCCAGCACAAAGACTGCGAGGTGTCACCGCTGCACGCTGTCTACCAGAGCCAGAAGAATGAGCTGCGCTCAGCCGTGGAGCTGCTCGCCGCAGGAAACAGCTGCGTCCAGGCCGTCGTGGCCCAGATGGACGACATGTGTAAGCTGATCCAGGAGAACGGAGAGCTGAAGAAGAGGCGGCTGGGCGAGAGCTTCGACCTGCTGTACGCCATCCTGGAGGAGCGTAAAGGCCAGCTGCTGGAGCAGATCGGCCAGGTGGAGCAGGAAAAAGTGTCCGCGCTCAGAAAGCTGGCGGAGCAGTACAAGCAGCAGCTGCAGCTCAGCAACCAGCTGCAGGAGAAACTGGCGCAGAGCGTTCAGTCCTGCAGCGCCGCAGAGTTCCTCCTCACCGCCAAGCAGCTGCAGGAGGAGGCCCGGCAGGCAGCCAGCGCGGCCCAGCTGAAGAGGCCCGAGCCGGGCTATGAGAGCATGGAGCACCTGAGCCTGGACACCCAGGAGGCCGAGGCCGTGCTCGCTAGAATGGACTTCAGACAGGGGGACGAGGAGGAAGACCAGGACGCTGACAGAAAGTAACAACAGTAAGAAACCTGTCAGAGGACTCGACGTTGACGAGACGTGCAATCTTTTGGGAAAGTTTTTTACTTGTGACTTTTTATACTTTTCTATTTTTCAATGTTTTTGTGTCTCGTTCTTCAGACCAAGTCTGGAGAGAGTTACTTTATTGTCTCTTTGTACAACTGGAAACTTGAACAGCAGTCTCTGCTGTAACTTTTGAAGGTGTGAATAAAGTTTGATTTGATTCTTAACTGTTTTATTGTCCTCATCATAAATAAAGTTTTATTTCGGTCTCCTCGCCCTTTCTGAGGGACTCTCCCAGCCTCACACTGAGCATGTCGTCCTATATTTACTGGGGTCCCTGAATGCCTCCTGGCCTTACTTAGTCTGTAAACGGAGGTTATTTTTACTGAGTGGTGAGAGGATGGGAATAGCTCTGTCTGAGAGGGGGGAGGGGGTAGGTCAGGAGGGTCTTGTTTCTGACCCAGCTGGAGTGAGGCATGCTGGGAAACAGACTGAGGCTGTCATCAGGGCTGTTTGTGGATGTGAAGGGGACGAAGAGGTCGACCTGAATGTCACATCACACTCACAGTTTGATAAGAGTATGAAGTGATAACTGTAGACTGTACTCGTCAGTGGACACCGTGGGACAAAGACAAGGTCGACTGAGTCTGTATTTATCTGTTTATATATTTAACATTAATAATAATAAATGTATTCATTTATTAGCTATGAGTCTAACGAGAGAGCTGCACTGTAAACTAGAGAAGTTGAAAACTCGTACTGTCTTCACTAAAAGTTTCAGGTCGAACTGACGTCTGATGTTTTGTTGACAGAATTTACTTTCAGAAACATGTTTTGTGCTGAATCATGCTGCCGGCTGCAGTATTATGGAGCTGATGGTAGTTTTGTGCTGAATCATGCTGCCGGCCGCAGTATTATGGAGCTGATGGTATTTATAACCAGAGTGCTGAGTCGCCTTCAGAAATAAAGTCTGACACAAAGATGTTAAAGTGTCACTGAGATCATCGACTCGTCTTTATTTAGACTCACTTTATTGCTTCTAACCTGATCTATCAGTGACTGTATTATATTTCATATTGATCAATAACAGCAGAGAACAGCTGATCAACTGATCAATGAACACAAACAGTGAACTTAGTCACTGCAGGAAGTTTGATTATATGATCAGAGATGAATTTTCCTGATATATTGATATATTGAGTCTGTATACAATGTAACAATTAATATTCTTCTTTCTGACAGATTCACTGTTTATTGATCGATCAGCTATTTGCTTTCTGATGCAGGACGAGGCTGTTGATCAGAGACTGAAGCTCTGTACACGGTACATTGCGATCAATAATAATAATAATAATAATAAAATAATAATAATAATATACACTGTGATCAATAATCAAAATATACACTTTAAAAAATACTTAAAATATGTTAATGTTCCAGCAGCTGGAATCCCAAAAAATACAGTAATTTTCTACAAATAGTTTTTAATCATTAATTTGACATAAAACCATTTTAAAGTCTAAAGATATTTACAGTGTAAACCAATGATCTATAAATCCAGGTGAACACTGCTATAATACAATAATCAGACTTACATTTACAGCAGAGTGCTGTTATTATTGGATTGTTATTATTTTAATGTGAATGTTAAAAGTTATAGAAGTGTAATAAAAGTCATTATCTGTGAGATTACAGTAATTATTGCTGTTTACACTGATAACAACTGTATTTGGACAGTTTACCAATGCTTATACACTGATGTGTGACGGAGGTCACTAAGATTAATGTGGAGTCGGTGTGTAATTATGCTAAGACAATGTCGGACACCGTAGTTTTCTCTGGACCCCTCCCCAATGTGACCAGTGATGACATGTATAGCCGCATGTCGTCATTCCACCGCTGGCTGTCGAGGTGGTGTCCAGCAAACGATGTGGGCTTCATTGATAACTGGAAGCCTTTTTGGGGAAAACCTGTTCTGATTAGGAGAGACGGCATCCATCCCACTTTGGATGGAGCGGCTCTCTTATCTAGAAATATGGCGAAGTTTATCTCTAAAACCTGACAGTCCAGAGTTAGGACCAGGAAGCAGAGCTGCTGTCTTACACACTTCTCTGCGCTTTCTTTAGAACAGTCACCCACCCAAAACCCCATAGAGACTGTGTCTGTCCCCCAACCACCTACATTATTTAAAGAAATAAAAACAAGAGGAGTTCAACATAAAAATCTAATAAAAATTAAAACTAACTCCTCAGTAGCACAAAATAAGAGAATGAAATGTGGACTGTAAAATATCAGGTCTCTGTCCTCTAAAGCTGTTTTAGTGAATGAATTAATATCAGATTATGATATTGATTTACTTTGTCTTACTGAGACCTGGTTGTCCCACGAGGAGTATGTTAGCCTAAATGAATCCACCCCCCCAGTCATATTAATACTCACATTCCTCGAGGCACTGGCCGAGGAGGTGGAGTAGCAGCCATATATGATTCAAGCATTTTAATGGACCCTAAACCTAAACTAAATTATAATTCATTTGAAAGCCTTGTTCTTAGTCTTTCTCACCCAAACTGGAAAACACTGCAGCCAGTTCTATTTGTTATAGTGTACCGCGCTCCTGGACCGTACTCTGATTTTATATCTGAATTTTCAGAGTTTCTATCAAGTTTAGTCCTTAAATCAGATAAAGTAATTATTGTAGGTGATTTTAATATTCATGTGGATGTTGACAATGACAGCCTTAGTAATGCATTTATATCATTAATAGACTCAATTGGCTTCTGTCAGAGTGTAAATAAACCAACTCATTGTTTTAATCACACTCTTGACCTTGTTTTATCATATGGCATTGATATTGAACATTTAATAGTCTTCCCACATAATCCTTTCCTATCTGACCATTATTTAGTAACTTTTGAATTCATACTATTAGATTATAAGCCATTAGGCAAAACTTCCTACAGCAGATGTCTATCTGACAGTGCTGTAGCTAAATTTAAGGAGGAGATTCCTTCAGTGTTTAATTCAATGCCATGTCTGAATTTAACAGAGTCCTATAATAACTTTAGTCCCTCTGAAATTGATAATCTTGTCGATAGTGCTACAGGCTCACTACGATCAACATTAGACTCTATCGCTCCTATAAAAAGGAAATTATTAAAACATAGGAGACTAGCACCTTGGTATAACCACCAAACCCGCCAGTTAAAACAAATAGCTAGAAAATCTGAAAGGAAATGGCGCTCTTCCAAATTATCAGAATATCGCTCAATTTGGCAAGATAATCTTAAAATTTATAGAAAGGCCCTCCGTAATGCCAGAGGAGCCTATTACTCAGCACTAATAGAAGAAAATAAGAACAACCCTAGGTTCCTCTTCAGCACTGTAGCCAGGCTGACAGAGAGTCACAGCTCTATCGAGCCACATATCCCCATAAACTTAAGTAGCAATGACTTCATGAGCTTCTTCGATAATAAAATTATTACTATTAGAGAGAAAATTAATCACCAACTGCCATCAACAGTTATCAGTGGCTCTCCAAGTTCAGGGACTTCTGTCAATGTAAACTTAGATATATATTTAGACTGTTTTTCTGCTATCGATCTTCATCAGTTAACTTCAATCATTTCTTCATCGAAGCCATCAACCTGTCTATTAGACCCGATCCCAACTAGGCTGCTTAAAGAAGTTGTTCCCTTAATTGGCACTTCTTTACTGGATATGATTCATCTTTCTTTATTATCAGGATATGTACCACAGTCCTTTAAAGTAGCTGTAATTAAACCCCTTCTTAAAAAGTCCACTCTTGACCCAGGGGTTTTAGCCAACTATAGACCGATTTCTAACCTCCCCTTCCTCTCTAAGATTCTGGAGAAAGTAGTCACCAAAGAGTTGTGTGACTTTCTACATAACAATAGTTTATTTGAGGATTTTCAGTCAGGATTTAGAGTTCATCATAGCACAGAGACAGCTCTGGTTAAAGTTAATAATGACCTTCTGACTGCTTCTGACAATGGACTTGTCTCTGTACTTGTATTATTAGAGCTGCATTTGACACCATTGACCATGATATTCTTTTACAGAGACTTGAGCATCAAATTGGCATTAAAGGAACTGCCCTAAGCTGGTTTAAGTCATACTTATCAGATCGTTCTCAGTTTGTACATGTTAACGATGAATCCTCCATAAATACTAAAGTTAGTCATGGAGTTCCACAAGGTTCTGTACTTGGACCAATACTATTTACTTTATATATGCTCCCTTTAGGCAACATTATTAGGAATCACTCCATTAACTTTCACTGTTATGCAGATGATACGCAGTTATATCTATCAATCAAACCCAATGAAATTAATCAATTATCTAAATTACAAACATGTCTTAAGGACATAAAATCCTGGATGACCTGCAATTTTCTGATGTTAAACTCAGAAAAAAACGAAATTCTTGTTCTTGGCCCCAAAAACCTTAGAGACTCATTGTCTAAAGATATAGTCACTCTAGATGGCATTAACTTGGCCTCTAGCACCACTGTCAGGAATCTTGGAGTTATCTTTGATCAGGATTTGTCATTTAACTCCCACATAAAGCAGACCTCTAGGACTGCCTTCTTTCATTTACGTAATATTAGAAAAATTAGACACATACTATCACAGACAGATGCAGAAAAACTAATCCATGCATTTGTTACTTCAAGGCTGGATTACTGCAACTCTTTATTATCAGGTTGCCCCAATAAGTCCATTAAAACGCTCCAATTAATTCAGAACGCTGCAGCACGAGTACTGACAGGAACTAGAAAAAGAGATCACATCTCTCCTGTACTAGCTTCTCTGCATTGGCTCCCTATAAAATGTAGAATTGAATTTAAAATCCTCCTCCTCACCTATAAAGCTCTTCATGGTCAGGCCCCTTCATATCTTAAAGAGCTCATAGTACCCTATTACCCCACTAGAACACTACGTTCTCTGAATGCTGGGCTACTTGTGGTTCCTATAGTCTCTAAAAGTAGAACAGGAGCCAGAGCCTTCAGTTACCAAGCTCCTCTCCTGTGGAACCAGCTTCCAGTTGTGGTTCGGGAGGCAGACACCCTCTCCACATTCAAGAGTAGGCTTAAGACATTCCTCTTTGATAAAGCTTATAGTTAGGGCTGGATCAGGTGAGTCCTGAACCATCCCTTAGTTATGCTGCTATAGGCCTAGACTATCGGGGGATTTCCCATGGTGCACTG